ATACTGAACCCCAAATTGCTTCCGATCGAATCCCATATCCCTGCCACCAGGAAAAGATTCAAACGAGTTTGAAATGGATATTTACTGGATGAAAAAAACACAATGAATTTGTGTTCTATTTTTGATTATCTGACTAAATAAAAAGAAAAAAGAGGGCGAAAAAGAAAACCTGATCAACTGCAATGTAAGTAAGACATACACACTTACATAGCACTTTTTAAAACTCACAGTTACAATTCATTTGTGATTCACAAACAAATACATATATATAGATATACATAAACACACACACATATGTATATATACATATAGATATATACATACACGCACATACAAAAAAACAATGTATGTATGGATGAATAAACAAGAGGCAAAGAACAAGTTAAAAAAAGAGAAAGACACAACAAACCGTCCAACATTCAGCAAATCTGAGTGATTGAGGAAGAGGATTCCAGAGGGTTGGGTCACCTCTCGTTTTGCAGTTGGAGCGAGGGATGGATAAAAGCCCAGTATGTGTATGTGTGTATGTCTCTGTAACACTGGGTGACAAATACACTTATTAGAATCTAAAATACATTTTTTATACACATACTGTGGGCTACATGTCCTACATTTCTGTGCACATATCCTCTGGTTAGTTTTCTTAAATATTTAAATCTTCATTTCAGTAGAAAAGTAGTGTTCCTCTGGTCCTGATTGTAAGACTAGATAATAAGCAAAACCTGCTAACAGGTAGGAAGACAGCTGGTTGTCAGTATACTTTATTATTTTGTGGGTTTTGCTGCTGCAGCTCCTCTCTCATCTGTGCTGTTTGTCAGTCTGCTCCCACACACTGAGAGCCCCAGAGAGCCAGCAGGATCATTTCACCTTTTGGCTTCAGTTAGAGGGTGGACTGGCTGCACAATGTCGGTCTTACAGTTATGTAGTCTTGTCTTAAACCAGAGCTCTCCCAATGCCACAGCTCTTCTGTCACTGATTTTAGTATACAAATAGTATGTATTAGCATAACAACCTTAACTATTATTGTCAGTATCAGCAGACAAACTAATCAATTCTAAGTATTTGTGGTAAGTTTTCTACACTAAAATGAATCAATAGAAAATATAATGAAAAGGTAACTTTAATATGAACAGATAAATGTAGCCCTTGGAAAATACTCACTTTAAACAATAGGTTTCATGTTAACATCATTCAGTCAAATGCCACATCCCTGTGTGTTATGTACACCCCTTGGCTATTGTTGATTCAGTCAACAGCAGAAAAAGGTGTTTAGTTGTTACCACTCACACATGCTGTGTCCAGACCTGCACACCACCATGTAACAGCCTTGTAACCAAGTACGCCATTCTCTTCTTTCATTTACAAGCCGCCTGCCTCAGATCTGTGTGTGTGTGTGTGTGTGTGTGTGTGTGATTTGTGTGCACAACATTCGCCCCCATCTACCTCCCACTGGCGACTTTGGAGATGGTTGTCATGGCGACACTTCAAATGCTGCTGATGAACTGATAGGTCGCATTTGCCTTTCTTTGCGAACGGGCGATGGCTGTGTGATGATTCACTGTGGGCACAGAGCTGAGGAGCCAGGAGTCTTTGTCAGTACAGAGATGCTGGCAGTGCAGGCAGCAGCACAGCCCGCACCGTAAGATGCCGCTGCACCGAGGACGACACTCCTTAGCCGGGGAGGTGACGGGCAGCTTGAGGAGGCACAGCCGCAGGCACTCTGCCTCGGACATCCTGCTCAAGGTCCTGCAGCGCAGACGCAGCTCTGCCCTGGAGATCCTCTCGTCGTCCTCCCACAGAGTCATGGTGGCGGTCAGCATGAACCAGCCTCAGCCTCCCACTGAACGCAAGACCAGGAGATGTAACCACACTGAAGAAATCATTTGTGCATTGATTTGGGGGTTTAAATGATGGCTTCTGCTGTGAGGAAAGCATGCAATAAGCACTGATGACTATTGTCACATTGTTCTTATGTATTTTTTTTCTCCGCAGCCAATGCAAGGGTCCCTACAGCAAAGTACACCAAGATGGGGGAGACCCTGAGGCATGTCATCCCCGGTCACATGCAGTGCTCCATGGCTTGTGGAGGGAAAGCCTGTAAATATGAGAACCCCTCTCGCTGGAGTGATGAGGAGCAAGCCGTTAAAGGACTCTACTCGTCCTGGTACGTTGGCTACATTTCACACAGCCATCAGTGTCATGTGCTTGTGCTGTCAGTGCTGTGTCCACGTCAGTAATTACAGACAAATCAATACATTTGTCCTGGTTTTTGCTTTGCACTATGATCTGTTTTTAAAATGGAATCACTAAACAAGTGAGATCTTAAGTTTCAGTGTGTTTGCATATCTCTTCCCTTAAAGCTGCAGTAGGTCATTTGCGGTCACTGGGAGGCTGAAACTAAGAAAGATGGAATGACGCTTTGAGTTGGTGTCTTAGAGATATTTGATTGTTGAGTTTCATTACCAGCATCAATATTTGACAACCTGGAAATAACACTCACAATCAACTATCGTTCTTGGCTCTGATGGTTGTTTTTTTTCCAAATGTCATTAGGAGCACTAGGAGGAGCCAGAGGAACCAGATTTTTTCACAGATTATCCTTCTCATGTTCTACTGTCAGGATATAGTGAAAGTTTCAGCAAATATGACAAAAAGATATTTTTATTAAAGTTACCTACTGCAGCTTTAAAGGCTCTTTGGTATTTTCGTTTAGTTTACTTCAATTTAGTTGTCTTTAACAGTCTTAACTCAACATTTATTTTGTATGAATTCGCTGTATACACCACAACTCCCTCTAACTTGTCATATTCTCCACTTACAGGATTACTGACAACTTGCTAGCTATGGCAAGGCCATCCACTGAAATCATAGAGAAATATAATATAATTGAGCAATTTCAAAGGTATGGTAGTCTCCTTCATTCACAACTCGTTTGAATTTGAATGTTTGGTTTGATTGATTTGATTAGTTATTAACATTTATATTAACAGTGAAATGGAGGGTAATTGTTGAATGGTTTGCTCCATGGCTGTCACATGTGAGTTTGTAAGAAAATATCGAATAATATTATATCACGATGTTTTGTTTTGAGATATTCAGAGGGGGGAGGAAACAAAGTACAATATTTTGTAACTGTACTGAAGTAGTTTTTTCAGGAATCTGTGCAGTTTTACTTCTACTCCTTACATTTTTACATAAAAATATCTGTACTTTCTGCTCCTTACCTGCATTAATGCATTTTAGGGGAATTACCAATTAATAATTGTTTTTTTTTTGCATCATTGCACAACATCAAGACGGGTACATATCACGCATAACATGACATAGTAAGATGAAACAGACAAGAGAGGGAGAGTCAAACCCATTTGAGGTTTCAGAGAAACCAAGAGAGTACTTTTTCCTTTCATATTTTGAGTACATCTCAGAGCCTGTACTTTTTAAATTTTACTTGAGAAAAGATGTTGTGTCCGTACTCTTATAAATGGATTCTATACACAAGGACAGTTTTCCTAAAATCTGATTTTTTTAATTGTAATATATCGTCTTGCTTAAATACAGGTACTTCTGTAATGTCTGTGTTGTGTTGTCTTGTTGCGGTGTGCTACATGGTTTGCTCTGTACTCTGACACGTACCTGTTGCTGTGCTCAGGTGTGGTCTGAAGACGGTCATTAACCTGCAGCGGCCCGGAGAACACGCCAGTTGTGGCAACCCGCTGGAGCAGGAGAGCGGTTTCACTTATCGACCTGAAATTTTCATGGAGGCCGGCAGTGAGTTTCTATATCCAGCCTCTCCAACACATACCAATAAAATATGCAGTGTTAGTTTGACTTACAGGGGCAGTAGGGGATGTGATGAGAAAAGCTAAATCCATGAAATAAACATCAACTGATGGAGATATGTGTTTTATAAATGAATTTGTGAATAAGTGAATAATTTGATTATCCATTGAGCCATGCTCACATTACTTGCTGTTCTTTTCCATTTGGGGAAAAAAGATGAAGTATGTTGGTTTGTATAAAAAGGATGGAGTTGTATTTATCAAATCAAAATGTTTGTATCAGTTAATGCGGCTGCACCACACATACAGTAGAAGTTCCAAGAGCTTAGGTAAATCTACAGGCTGGTTACTGCCACAAACTCTTTAGTACAGCAATGAACAGTTAGAAAAACAGCTAGCTAGCTAACAACAATCCATAAACTAACACTTGAATTACTAGATTATTAGAAGTTTTAGCATCTTCACAATGCTCTGTCAACCACACGTCACTTGAATAAACTGATCAGAGATCAGATTTCCACTACAACAGCTCAGTGCACTGTCTGTATGATTATATGTGTTGAAAACGATACGTCAGCTGACAAGGACTAGGTAGAATACTTAATGCTAGTTCCTATTGGGAGTAGTAAAGTTTACGTATGAATTTTGGAGACACTGATGCATAACATCTGGCTAGAATATGTCCAGATTGTCTTTATTAAATGCTTCTTAGATGAATTTACTCTAAGATTTTATGAGATTGGGTAGCTATCTGATATGTCCAAGACTCGTGAAGTATAAATAGTGCTTAAAATATAGTCTAATAGTGGTGTAAACTGCATTTTAGAAGCCATTTTTACTTTTATTCTTATTATAGAGGTTGCTACAGCAACTTCGGTCATTCCACTTAGTTCATTTTAAATTACATTTCAGACAGTAACACAATAATATTGCTCAGCTAACAAGCTAGTGTTATGGCAAAAATAGATGAACTTATCCAATAATGCAGTCCCTTTTTAATACACCAGTTGCTCTATTAAAACCAATATTTTATGAATAATTATTATGAGGCAACGACTTCTGTGTTTACATTGTCGATTGGTTTCTGATTGGATGCCACTGGAGATGTTTCCTAGCAACAGATTTACATATTAGTGAGGGCTTCAGTTCATTAGTAGTAACAGCCTCTCATAATGTAGTGAGGACTCTACATGTAAACTGATTAATGGATGTACTTATAAATAAGTGCTGCTGCCTATCCCTGATTGTACAAGATGTAGAGGATGACTGCACGACCAGAGAGCAGCAGTAGAAAAGTAGTCTCTGTGGAAGCGTTTCATCCCTGTCTCAGCATTCTACATAAGAAAGAGCAGCAGGTAGAGACTAAGGTAGTTGCAACTTCTTCCTCCGACCTCCAACCATTAGTGTTTTGTGTTGTGCCTACATCCGGTACGTGATATGGTCCCTAGTAACCACATAATTACAAAGAGAATCCACATATGCCTTTGGGGGCTGGCAATCTTTAATTTATCTTCCTAACGAGCTCTCATGAGATCTTTTCCCAAGTCACCTCATCGAAACATCAGCTGCATTACAAATAGTGCTGTCTTTCATTTAACACTCTTCAAAGCCTCCATTGTAAACACTGGCTCTTGCTGTAGGTCATTGCTTTAGGTCATTATCATCCTCAGTTCTTCCTACTCCAGTTTTGACATTTAATGAACTCTCTAGAGCCCCCTTTCAGACATGCAACCTTTTATGTAAATGTGCTGGCAATATAACATGTCGGTCTCATGTCTGAATAAGCACCTGAGTCACTCTTATGTAAAAGGCACTACGGCAGTCTTACCAGTTGGAACCTGTCAAAGTCTGAACTGAATGCTGTCAGATTGATGTAAAGGTAAAACCTGCATATAGAGAGACTAAATACATGTCTTGTTCCGTCGCCTAAGATCACAGAATACATTTATTATCTCAGTCTTTATCCCTATGCACAAAGAAAATCAAATCTTTTTAATACACCAGGAAACACGCAATACAAGAGCTCGTTGTAAGTTATTGAGGGGGATTCTTCTCATATTAGTCTGTTAAAATCATTTTCCCTCGTGGTGCGACCGGGGAAGAAGAGATTAAAAATAAAGTTATACAACCACAGTAATAATCTGACTAACAGTCTCTCTCTATTTTTTACATTTTCCTCAGTGATGCAGCATGTGAGAGAACAGAAAGTTGTTATGGTAATATCTGTAACTCACTAAACCATAAACTGTACAGTATAACAGTTTTGATGTTATGTCAAAGACGCCTAGGTATTGTGTTGCAGAGATATCTACTGAAGTTAGCATGCTAACCAGATAGCCCTGGCCTGTCCTGTCTCGTAAGAGAGGCAAGTGGCAAGTTGGCTACATTACAAAAGCTGTCTTTGCTTTTTTAGTCAAATAAACAAAATACACATACAACACACAACATGTCAAGCAAAGAAATACTCTACAGAAAAATACAACGGTACACCTTCTAAACTTAAGTTTCTCTCTTTCTCCAAACTAAGACCCACTTAATTACCTTGTTAACTTATCATAAAACTCACTTCATTCAAACTCGATATAAACAAACTAAAACTCACCTTGCAAAAAAAGGCAAATGCGACCAACAATCGGCAACTCTGTTTTCTACTAAATCCTTGATTCACTGAGTTAGATGTGAAAATATTCTGGCTCTACAAGCTGTCGCTGCCTCTCTGATGCCCAATATTCCTCTCACTCCTCTCCCTGTTGATGCCACTCTAGTCTCCGCCTGAACCAGCCATGTCTTCATCGTCCCCAGAGTCAAGGTCCTGGTCCGCTGTAAATCACCTTGGTACTGTATTCCCTGTCATCAAACTGGCCTCAGTCGTTCCAGGTGGAGGCTGCAGAGCCCAATAGCTTTACCCGCTCACCCAGCTCCGGTTCTGGTGTTGATTCCAGCGCCTGCCAGCATTCAGCATTGTGCAGTCCGACAGTGTTATACGAGTGCAATCCCAAATCAGTAAATCAATTATTTTAATGTAAAAGGCAACTATGTCTGAAGCCAAATCCAGAACTTTAACAGATAGCTGAAGCCAGCAGTGTTATGTATTGGGCGTCTGAAAAGGACCTCTTTGTGTATTTCAGTTTATTACTACAACTTTGGGTGGAAGGATTACGGTGTGGCATCTCTGACTACAATCCTTGACATGGTGAAAGTCATGTCATTTGCTGTCCAAGAGGGAAAACTGGCTGTCCACTGCCATGCTGGTCTTGGAAGAACAGGTTTGTAACACCAGCAAATTGGAATTTCTTATCCTCATTTGTGCTTGTAAAATATCAATTTCGTATTTTTCATCATGTAGGTGTGTTGTTTGCTTGTTACTTGGTTTTCACGTCCCGGATGAACGCTGACCAAGCCATCCTGTTTGTGCGAGCAAAGAGACCCAACTCCATCCAGACCAGAGGCCAGCTCCTTTGCGTAAGGGAGTTCGCCCAGTTCCTGGTACCTCTCCGAAGCGTCTTTTCCTGTGCAGAACCCAAAGCGAGCGCTGTCACTTTGTCCCAGTACCTTACCCGGCAGCGCCACCTGCTGCACGGCTACGAGGCCCGACAGATGAAAAACGTGCCAAAGATCGTCCAGCTGGTGTGCAGGCTTCTGGTCGACATCGCAGCCAACAGACAGGCGGTGATAGAGGAGGAGTGGCTGGAGATCCCTGACCTCACCGCTGAGGTGGAGAAGACCGTGTCCCAGCAGGCTCTCCAGCAGCTCGGGAAGGAGATGAGAGGGAAGGGAATTCCAGTTCCACCTTGTTCATCCCATCCTCTCAGCCCACCTGCTCTTCAGTCTGGACCTCCTCACGATCAACCTCTTGCCAGCGATAACGAGCTTGACCCTCTGTGGAGACAGCAGAATGCAGAAAGCCCTCTGAGATCCTCTCTGTCCAACAACAGGCACCTCAGTTACAGCGACTCTGTCCTTCACAAACTTGGAACACGGCAGCACCATTTAGAAAATCTGAAGAGCAACAAACCAATCAACTGCCTGATCAAACATTCCTTGTCTCACAACAGCCTTACAGTCCGTAACCTACCCAGATTTTGTGACCCCTCTCCTCAGGACTTTATCAGCAGCATTCAGGACCCCAGTACAAAGGCAAAGCAAGACACAGGATCCCCCTTTATAAAAAGGCAGCTACGCAAGGGACGTCAAAGTTGGTCTTTAGATCTCTCTGAGCAGGGAAGAAGATCCAACTGTAACGCCACACTGCCAGCCTTATCAACCAAGAGCAAACTATTAACCAGCGTGGAGCAGCCAGGGGATGTGTTTGTGGATGAAGGAGACACAGGCATTGTCAGAGAGGTTCCCTTCATCGCTCTCCAGTCTGAGCTCTCCCCAGAGAGCAGACGCCTGTTGGTGACCAAGGCTGTGGCCTTGGACTTGAGCGACAAGGATCTCACCTCCAAGGTGTCACTATGGCAGGTAGGGAACCTCATAAAATACTCTCAAATATACCAAATACACATACGGAGGGCGCCCTGTTAGCTCTGTCGGTAGAGCTGGAGACCCATGTACGGAGTTGCTGCAGCGGCTCGGGTTTGAATCCGACCTGCGGCTCTTTGTTGCGTGTCATCCCCTCTCTCTCTGCCCCCCTTTCCTGTATCTTCAGCTGTGACTATAAATAAAGGCAATAAAAAGGTCAAAAAAAATTTACTTTACAACTATTACAACTCAAACATAAACTAAAAGAATGCTATTCATGGGAAAAGTGCAAGCATACGATAGCTCACAGGTTTAAACACATTTTGCCAGTGGAACTATTCAGTGTCATGTATTTGCTTCAGTATGGCCAGGTTGAGTCTTCCTCAGGCTTAGATTTGGGAGGTTTATCCATGATGACGCTGTCGCTGTACCAGCACTGAGCAACACACACCATTTTGCACTATATGAAGGTCAAGTGTGTGGTGGTGGTTGTCTGGCAAAGTCGGTTTTCACATAGGATACAAGGAAACTGCCTTAGTATATTGGTGCATAACAATAAACATAGAAAAATATAAAAGATTAAATAGAGACAATAAAGATATACACTATAAATAAATGAATGAAGAGCTGTACAGTTTGTGCAGTAATGTGCAAAATATTGTCTTGGGAATGTGCAAGTTTGCAGTATGAAACATAAAAGATATTTGCAATGTGCAAGTTCAATTAAAGTAGAGAAGCAACGGTAAAATAAAAACTCCTTTTAAGGCTCAATATGGGCTGTATTAACTACACAAAAAATGGCAAAAAGAGGGTAATTTAACTATTTGATTCACTACGCGAACATGAATAAAATTGAGCTTCCGGCAAGGTACTGCATTATTTATTTAAACTGCTAACTTAATCTCATATTTCACTGCTCCCCGGCGCATATAATATTTAATTTCTGCAGATCCTCCTTTAATGTTACACACTGGACCTTTAACTGAAGCTTCAAAGATATCATAATTCAGTCCTAACCAGCAGTGGACTCCTTCTTTCATGAAAAGTAGTGTAAACTGTGAGAAGTGGGTGCGCAGAGCACAACTGAAGCTGCGTGGATGGGAGGTACTCCTGCAAGTTAAGGGGCCAGATGTGTGAGAGGAGGGGGACCAACTCATCCAGACCACGGCTACAAAATGCTTCCTGGTCAAAGAGTTTGTCAAAAAACAAACTGCACAAGTTGACAGCTTCGACCTCCGACTGAACGCCTCCGATCTCAGCGTCGAAGGTAAGTGGACGTTTTACTGACCACCTGCGTTGTTAATTGAAATGCGCGTTACGTCGATGAACTGAATGTGAACTTGATGTGTGAACGTGATGACGTGAGTGAGTGGGGGGGGGTAACTGATTTTGACGGGCTCGCGAGGTGCTTTCTGACGTGCCTCTCTCTTTGTCACGTTTTCTTATCTTTGGACCGCCGGTATTCACATTAAAGCAAACCCAGTCCATTAGTAGTGGTAGGCTTTGCGCAGTAATGTGCCTCAGCTGGCAGCTTACCAAAGGTCTTAAAGTGAAGAGGTAAGCAAGTGCATCATGCCAACGATCCCCCATTAACTGTGTAGTAAAATATAAAAGAAGGGTGTGAAGATTTCAGAAAAGCGATTCAGCATACTGGATTACAGCTTAGGTAACACTTTATAATGAAAGCACCAAGCATAAGCTACTTAAGTAATGCTTTAACTGGTGCATGACTCATGGTGATTTAATGCACTAATTGATACAGGATGTATCATGAATTCCTGCTGCTTACCACTAACAAATGATCAATTCAATACGACTTTATGTGACTAGTTCACACTTAATAGATCATCAGTTGAGGGATGTTAATTCACAGTTATTTCATACATTAAGCCATCAAGTTAGCTGTGTTTCAGTTACATAAGACTTAAACTCAGTTCCTCAGCCTCTCTGAAAGCAGAACAGTGCCTGCTGTCATAAAAATATGAAGCTTTTTTGGATGAAACTGGCCATCAGCAACATGTACATAATAAATGTAAATATAGTTACATAAATTACCTGTTTACTGCATAGAAATTAATGTATGAACTAATGATCTGTTCACATAAAGTAATTTATTAGTGGTGACCAACTGGAATTGCTGTTACACCCTGTGTAAAGCTGTGGTAGGTGACTTTTATGAAAATACTTTTTTTTCATATTGGCTGAAACTTTCACTATATCCTGACAGTAATTCATGAAACAGATAATGTCTGGAAAAATCTGGTTCCTCTGGCTCGTTCTAGTGCCCCTAATGGCATTTGCAAGGATCCATCCCTGGACGAAAACAACCAATCAGAGTTGAGAAAGATGTAAAGACGCTTTGGGTTGGTGGCATAAAGATGGTTGATGGTTGAGTCTCATTCCCAGCGTCAGTATTTGACGACCTGGGAATAACCCAAACAAAAACCTTTTTGGCTCAAATTGGTTGCTTTCGTTCAGGCCTGGTGGATGCAAATGCCATTAGGACTGCTACAACAAGCCAGAGGAATTATCTGTCTCATGAACTACTGTCATGATATAGTGAAAGCTTCAGCAAATATGACAAAAAGTTATTTTTTAAACACCTACTGCAGCTTTAATTAATGCATTAAATGATCATGAGTCATGCATTAGTTAAAATATTAGTAAATTATTTGTACCAGGGCTGCACAATATGGTAAAAAAAACAAAACAAGAACATATATTCACAATTAGTGGGAATGATCATTTTTGCATTACAGTTTATTTTCACTAAAAAAAATATTAAAATCATGATGTTGTGACATTTGTTGTGGTCTGTACCAAACAAACATCTTTTCATAGACCAGGGTATCCCACTATAGTACAGTACTTGCATTATAATGCTGTTTGGTCACACAGAGAGGTATTATCGTAGTGAATAATCTAATTATTAAGGAGACGGCAGTGTTGATTAGTATTCTCTTGGCAGCTTACAGTAAACACTATATAGAACATTCAAATAATTGTACATGATAAATTTGCTCTACGCGAATCATGCTAATAAATAGTCTTACAGTTCACTTGCTCAAGCAGAACCCACAGATCTTAATTGTATATAATTAATGATCTCGGGTTCCAAGGACTCTTATATCGTTCAAGGAATTTATTGATTATGCGCTGTGAGGGTCTAAAAAATCAGCATGGACTCCTCACCCATTACCACAAAAGTAAACACACCAAACACTGATAATATCTCCTTCAATAATAAATCAGGTCTATACGTCTTAGTTTAGCGAAGTATAAAAATAAAAGTGATCTCCCCCATAACTATATCCGTAATACTGTGCACGATCTATGAATTCCTATAAGCTTCAATGGGTGCATGGGTTAAGAAGACAAAAAGGAGACTATTATGGTTGAGAAGTCACTCACTTTTACGCCTTTAATCTAAGTTTATATTATTTAGCATTAAGTATTAGGTGGTAACCTTTTAATAATCATATAATAATATACAATTAGGAGGGATTGCCATTCACAATATAGGTGCATATATCAAATCACAAAGCTGCAAATATGTTTTGAAAGTAAAAT